TAGAAATTATTTTACTCAAGTACATTATTTTCATGTTTTTTTTTATATTTATATTTAAATAACATATTTTAGGTAATTAATAATGTTAAAATTAGGTATTTGTAGGTAATTAATTATAGTCATTGCAACATAGTTTGATACATTATTTTATGTATAGAAACATATTACATATTAAGAACCTAATACTTTTAGATTAACAATTATTTGTAAAATTTAAAACATAATATTCTACTTATTGTTGTTTTCTGAGTTTTATACTTTTTATTTGTTTACCAAATGGTTTTTCCTCCAAAACCAACCAAGATGAAAATTTCTTGGAACTACAATCATAAATCGTTCTAGCTGTAGAACGCCCATTAAACCTTTATAATTTACTTCTAAATACAAATTACTGTTTTTCTTTGTTTTTTCAAATAAGTATTGGAACGTTCCGTTATAATAACTAATGTTATAGTTGTAATTTATTTTTATTTCATTACTTGAGTTATTGTACGACTTGATGGCCTATTTTTATTTCAAATATATTATATTTGTAGTTGTATTGTGGTGTAAGCCAGTACCTATACTATTGAAATGTGATTTAATACACTTCGGTATTTTAAGTGTCCAATTAATTAATATTCAATGTAATTTTGATAAGGTATTACGATTTTCATAGTATTTCTAGTTCTACATTTATACATTTTTATTAAAGCATTTTTTTGTATGCTAATATTCATATTAAACATATAAATAATTGTATGTTTAATATTACAAAATATATCATTTTAATATTAGGTATTTATAATTTAAGAATTTATCTGACAATGATAATTATATTGAATACTGTATCTTATACTTTAAAATCACATAAAATAAAAAAATCACTAAACCATTAAACATTTGATAAGGTACGATCGTCGGCAGGAGTCAGTCGTTAAAAGTAAATTAATTTGGTAATTAATTAATTAAATTACTTTTCGTAGATTATTATCGCCCAATTTTAGGTAGGTCGGTACATACTAAATACAAATATTTCAATGTTATCATACAAAATAATAAGTTGTCTCATTTTATTTAAATTATAGCACAAACATTATTAAACAAAGTTTAGAATTTTTTTTAGTATATAAAAAATATAAAAAATAATATATAATATATAATAAATTGTATTCAATACAATACAGGTAAGTATATCTACCACATATTTTTTTACGTTAGTCCTTGAATTGAACTGTTTAGTGATTTCATATATGTACATAATATATTATTTTGAACGATAAGAAGACTGATGAATCTGTTTCAATAATGATGCGAATATCTATTTTGCTTAATTTTAGACGTGTTTCATATTCTAATTAAATGATCATATTATGAGTCTTTAATATTGATTTTAAAACATTTTCCAAATTAGTCACGTTAATCTAATCACCGATGAGTAGATAGAAACAAATTGATTTGGGTGTACCTAGGTACAAACTGAAGTATTTAAAACCTTTGTCTTGAAACTGTCTCTTAGTTTATTTGTTAAGACTACGAGTGACATGCATTTTACATAAGGAATAGTGTTGGACGTTGGTGTAAGCTATTTTAACGAACTCGGAGCTATTTTACTCGTAAAGTCGTAACGATTAATGTGATTTTTAATAAATAATAATATGTCTCGTAATTTTGGTTAGGTGTTTCTGTTCAACGGTTAGGTTATGCCCACTTCAATCGTACTTCAAACGATATTTTTTCAGTCGAACCCAACGGGAACGGCATCAGAGATTTCCGACTAGTTTCGACTTGTTAGACTTAAGGACGTGCTTGTGTATTCGAACACGTGTTGAACACAGGTGTACGGAAATGCCTTCTCTGTGTTTTCGTTATAAGACAATAATAATATAGTCTGGGCGGATATAATGGCTGTAACAATTAGATTAGGGTTCCGCGCACCACAATCCAAACACTTGGCGGCTGATTAACGAAATAAACTCGGAGATATTTATCTTTTTGTATTCTGATAACTTCCCGGCCGCCATTTATTTCAATTGTATTATTCGGTTTGGTTTAGCTTGATATGAAACTACGCACTTCCTAATTGTTTGCTATAGTATGTAGAAATATAGTAACGGGAAATCAAACGAATAAGTTTTCAAGTCGTTCCTTGAATAATAATTCGGATTTTAACCACCAAAAAAAAAAAAACCGACCGTTTTAGTTTCTGTTTCCGAAAAAATCGACCAGCTGCTGAAAATTATCAGTTATAATTATTACATTTAGACATAAAATAAGTGTGGATATACCTCTGAATCGCCTTCGAATTACGTACAGACTACCTAGGTAGGTATTGCGCCAGATTTTAAGGGTTTTCTTTTTTATTATTCATTTTAATAATATCACTTGTCTATACACAATATCGGATATGTATTATACATAAAAAAAAATATATTAAATATTCGATAAAGCATAGCTAATATTATAACATATCGTTTTCATCGTGAAACATTTTTAAGATGAACGATTTCGTTTTGAGTGGCAAAAAATAGCATCAAAATACTTAAGAGATACATAATTTAAGTAGCTAACATCATCGACTAAACGTCACAATAATAAATCAAAAACAGCTAGGAACGGTCATAAAAAGCACTTAAATACATTGATTGTAAATGTGGATTCAATATTGTAATAGATTATTATTGAACGACTAAACCTGATGAATTCTGAATGGAATAACTGCTGCCTCAGACGGACTGGAGAAGTCTTCGAATTGTAAATGGAAATAATCAATTTTAAACCAACAACTAAAAAATATTTAATTATTTTCATGACAGATTTATCTTTTTAATACTGATACATACCTACGACCTACCTAAATACATATTATTTCTCTGAAAAATTATTTTCATGTTAATTAGTCTGAGATTAATTTATTCGTATAATAAGTATTTTTATATCTAAGTAAAAACCTGTTCATATAATATATAAATAATAAAACTTAGAGTACTTTTATTTATAAAATTTAAAATAATTGCTTAAAACCGAGCTTAAAGTTAAAGTAAAAAACAAAAAAAAAATGTTTTTGAATACATATTTGGTATACACACCTAATTAAATATATTTATGAAAAGTTTTAAACATTAATATAGTAACAAATATACAGCAATCGTTGTTATCATAAACTGAGTAAAATTTACTTTTTGGTTTCCAAAAAACAAGTTTAAAATGTATATTATGTTGTAATTAAATGAATAGCAACAGTCCAAAATAACAATGACTTATTATGAGACACATAAATTTAGGTACTTCTACCGTAATATTTGAATATTTTTTTATTTCCTTAAAAGTGTTGTTTTCTGTTTTGTAATTAAACATAATACAAAATACTACAATTTACACTAAAATAGTTGTACAGGTTTTTTTCTATGTATAAAAAACTATTTGCGTATAAATAAAATCGCTTGACGTTATGGATTTTAAAAATATAATCTATTATTTTAACTATTAGTCAAATTTAAATTTTAAGTTTTTAACTAGTACAAGTAAGCAGACTTGTAATAATAATATAGTATACTTTGTATGCTGAAATATTTAAATTGTAAAATAAAAAAAAATTTTTTATTATGAAGTTAAAAATAAACGTGGTTCGTTCATTTCTGATTAGCTAATTATATAATTATATATGTAAAAAAAAAAAACATGATCAAATAGTAAAAATGTAGAGAATAAATTCAATGACTAATCAGCTGTTTAACATAGTGCAAATTTTGGCATTTTTTTTTAAACCGATGCAGTTGTATTTAATCTAACACTAGCTGTTTTATAAATATTTAATGTATTGTAATTTCATCAAATTTTTTTATTCATTTTAATACCCGACCTTAAAGAGCATTCACAGACGTATAAATACACGAAGTATGTTCCATAGTATAATAGATTAAAATACAATAAAAATTTAAACGAAGAAATGTTCAAATTTAGGAAAATATTTAAATATATAATATCTTAGAAGAATAAAAATACGTGAAAAGAAGAACAATGATAATCAAACGATGGATTATTTTTTCGAGATGAAAGAGGTGGAATAAAAGGCTTATTTTGGACAAAATCAGATGATTATGATGCATGGAATAAAGCATAATTTCTTGTCTACTGGGCGGGAACACTAAAGTTAATGTCCACCAACTAAGAAAGAAACTAGAGAATCCACAAAGCTAAAAATAAAACCGGACAAAAATCGGCTACCACAAATCGGCTACGAGCCACAACACTGCGCAGGTTCAACATGCAGCTAACCATTAATTATTCACTATCACAAGAAATACAAGGGAATTCGGAGACACGGAGGTTATAAAAATATATATAAAAAAAAAGGCGTACCGTAAGAAGTTCCTATGTATTCAGTTCATTCACCATTGAACCTCCAGAAGTGTGAGGGTTGACAAATGCAGAACCGTATGAGAGGTACATGGTCTTGTGGGAGCACAGTCAATTGCTTTTTTGACAGAGTGTTTAAAATTGTTCTGGACCACACCGTAAGGTTTAAAGTACTTTCAACTTTTATATCACATGTCTTCGTAGCGCATTTGAAGACTGAGGTTTCAAGTTTCACACCGAGACCACTGCGAGATGGTTCGAAAGCCACGAAAACCATATACACCAGTAGAGTATCTGAAGCTCAGCTGTGGGGGTGGGTTATATAAGATAACATCCCTATTTCGCAGCATTCATATACTAATTGAATTATTTTTCTTTGATTTTTTATTTCGTTTAACGGCGATTTTATGATAATTTCCGCCATCATTCATTCATTCGTATCGTAAGTCCCAGAACCAACTCCTGGTGAACTAACCCCCGATCTCCCCTGAACTCCTAAATATATACTACATTCATGTACAGACAGCCTCAATGATAAAATAATTATATTACATTAATAAATAATAATAATAATAATATGTTTGTTGTTCCGCAGACCTAAGAGACATCGATGTTGCATCTCGGCGGCGAAGGCTGACGCTCGGACGACGGCCACGGACGCGATGAACTCGTCGGCCGATAGTCAAAACGGGACGGCCGGAAATCGGTCGTCGTCGCCTTTCCCCGAGTGGAGCGGCGGCAGCGGTGGTAACTGGTCAGTAGTGTTCTGTCCGGTGTTCGAAGGCGACGGGACGGACGAGGACGACTACAACCTGTTGTTCGAGTTCATCACGTACGGCGTGCTGCTGAACGTGATCGGCTTGTTCGGCATACTGGGCAACGTGATATCCATGGTGATCCTGTCCCGGCCGCAGATGAAGTCGTCTATCAACTACCTGCTGATCGGCCTGGCCCGGTGTGACACCGTGCTGATCGTCACGTCCATTCTGCTGTTCGGGCTGCCCGTCGTCTACCCGGCCACCGGACACCTGTTCAACTACTACTTCAAGGTGTACCCGCTGATCGCGCCCGTCGTCTACCCCATAGCGATGGTCTCGCAGACCGTGTCCGTGTACCTGACGCTCACCGTCACCCTAGAGCGGTTCGTGGCCGTCTGCCACCCGCTCCGCGCCCGGTCCCTGTGCACGTACGGCCGGGCCCGGGCCTACGTAGTGGCCACCATCGCGTTCGCCGTCCTCTACAACGTCACCCGGTTCCTGGAGGTGCGAGTCCAGAAATGCATGCACACCGGTTACAACCAGTACGTATACCAGGTATACCCCAGCGACCTGCGCAACGACCGCGACTACATATCCGTTTACATACATTGGATGTACCTGCTCATCATGTACTTCATACCGTTCGGGTCGCTGGCCGTGCTCAACGCCGCCATTTACCGCCAGGTGAGCCCTACGCAGCGACACGCGTGAGTGAGTCACCGTAATCGGTTCCACGACTAGCAGCGATCAAAAGCTCAAGTTGTGGGGGTGGTGGGGATGGATTAGGGTAAGGGGATGGGGGAGCCGAGCAGGTTATTTCTTACGGAGTATAATCGGATGACCAGATTGGAGATACCGTTTTTGACATATTTATTAATTTTATTACAACAGATAGCAAATCCAAAACTATTGATTAAATTCGAATAGTATGGATGATATTTTACTCCCCCTTATTTTCAATATGAGCAAAAAAAAAATAATAAAAGCCACCGTTGTTGAAATGTAGGTATTGCTGTTCACGTGACGTGTTCGCTTATGATAATATGTCCGAGTAGAACAAAGACTTTTAACAAATTCGGTACCCATTATTATTTTATGCTTACACTATTACTGACCATTCATAAAAAAGCACGACACATAAATCTTCAAAAATATAAATTGTTGTAAACTTGATGAGGGACCGTAAAGAATTTGTTAGCGGTCGACCCCTGCTAAGATAAGTATAATATTACAATAGGTGTAAAACGTATTATAAGCATTAAGCATAATATTTCTGAATCTGAATACATATTATATTTTATCCTATGACTGATGAATATCAAAGGTGGATATTATAACCGAACAAATCAGGTCACTCCGCCATCAACCATAATTAATAGGTTCACCTCTGGCTCACACATTACCGCATATTAAATTATATTATAAAAGTTTATAACATTATAATATTATAAGTTATAACTTTACAACGACAAGACTGTACTCTAACTTAAAAAAAGTTCATAAAGCGAGACTTGTCAGGTATAATAATAATAGATTAATAGTTTCATACATGTATTATACTATTATTTATAACGTATGAACTAGAAAAGTAGGCCATAAAATAGACACAGGTGCTTATTGTTAGGTATTGGCAGCATACTAAATAATATAGAAAAATAATATTTTATGCTTCGCGTTTGTAACAGATTTTCATTTTTATTTCTCACAATATTTTAACTTTACATTATATGTTCCTTAGAACCAACACGGTAGGTCACGTTACTTAGCTAGTTTGATCAAGTCAAAGTATTAAATTGGATTTTGTATAATATCAAACAGTAACTGGTGGTGATCTGCAGATTAGTAGACAAACTTATAAACAATTTAACAAAATGTCGTGCAACTAGTGTTGGGTTTTTATTATATTTATTTTCTAATCTACTTTTAATACCCAGTTACTACGAGCACTACCTATAAATTATCATCCATGCAAAAACCCAAAGTTGGTGTTATTACCGTTTATAAATTGATATGAAATTAATTAAATAATGTAAATAACGTGAGATGGATAATGATTAAGCTATGAACACCTTTTTCAAAATATGTATCATACAATACCTGCTCGAATCTTTATTAGTTATTTTGATTATTATTTTTTTGAAAAATAAATCTCTTTAAAAACTGTCGACATAATACATTAAATGTAGCGCGTATGGTATAATTTTTGTACATAACACAGCCATTATTATTTGTTACTATATTTTATATTATATATTAAATCTTTATTAATATTTATTGTACGAATAAACCATTAAGTTCAGTGTATGAAAATATTCCTTGACATTTCAGTATAACCATTAGTTATCTAATAAATATTATTAGATACTAATGTTAAATATTAAATAATATTATCAGGCTGGTTGAAAATCAATGTGGGTAGTTTAAAATAAAACTGTAAGTGATTGAAAGTGAAACAATTTTGTCAGTAAATAGAAAATGAGGGGGAAATTACTCTAAAATTGAAAATTAAGAAAGAGATTCAATGTGCAACCAAGAAGAAGATATACTAGTGTCCCATAATATTAAAATTCTAGAGTTCTTTGAAGCGCACAAGTAGTGAAATAAATGTATAATAAAGTTTCATATTATGACAAAGGTTGGAAAGTAGCTATTGATTTCAATAAAGTGTTTGATTGTTTAAACAAGATTTACTCAATGTAAATTGTGGTATGTAATCATTTTAGGCCAAATACAATAGTTTTGTGGCAGGTTCATCCAATAACTTGACGTTTTATTGATGTAGCTTTTAACCTTATTGTGGTACTTTGATATATAATGGGGTATTCAGGAATTATAATATTATTAGAAAAAGTGCACATGTGCAGTACTTTAGTCCCAACGATAAAATAAAGCTAATATTGTTATTTGTTTCGTTTATAGGATAACTATATTCAAATAAATATATTATGTTGTGATTGACTACAATTTTATTGTTGAATTCAAGTGTATAACTATAAACTTTGAATAATTAGTGATTAATGATTAGGTCAAATAAGGTCCAAAATGAAATTCTATTTTAATGCTATCTGAAATGGCTTAGCTATAATATGTTTGACTGCCCAACTCTATAAATTTAGAAATTATGTGTGATTTGATCTATGAAGTAAACTAACTCAATGTATATTTAGGTATTATATAAAATAGTTAATTTGTACTAGCAATAATTGTAAAATCGAAGGAAAATTGAAAGAATTACAATATGGTTACCATTATATTTTCAAACAAATTATAGTTATTATAGTAAAAAGACAATAGACATTTAAAAAAAAAATCAAACACAACATTCTTCTAAAACACACAATGAAACTAAACATAAACGTAAACATAATATTATAATAGCATAACATCCATTAAAAAAAAAAAAAATCATTATTATTTAGATTTTATGTTTCGGTTACCGTGGCGATTATTATATTCAAATAAAAACAAAAAGTCAAATACTTTTTAAACTTATAGAGTTAGATATAATAATATTTGTACATCTCATTCATTAAAACATTTAAATAATACGAATACAATGGTATGCCCATCACAAATACATTGCAGGTGTTTATTCATACTTGAAATTTAAATGATGTGATACTAAAAAACAAGTATCTGTTGTCTAGATATTGAAAACTCGTGAAGTAGGTACTCATTATGTCATTTCGAAAACCATAGAGCACATACCTTTCATTCCGGTCGAAAAAGGTATAGCTGCAGTTGTTTTTTTGTTTTTAAATTATGCATTAAACAAAACAAATCGGAACTCGCAAAACTTCCCCTCGTCCAACCGATACCATTAAAAAACCAAAAATTATTGCAGCACTCGCTTTACGATGAGGTTTTTTCGGTAGTTTTAGGACAATAATAATATCATAACATCATGCGTTTTGCACTAAGTCTTATTAAGGTTACTAAAGTTTGGTCAATGCGTTAGGTCACGGACCATGAATCATGTGATTCACCGCGTATGGCTGTGACAAGTTACCCTCCAATGGGTTAAGCGCTCTTGTGTGATTTTACGTCATCTGTATCAAGGGAGCGTGGCTTTTTGTCGCATTAAATCAAGTTTATAGTACGAGTGTACGACCCGTGTGTTCGAAAATAATATAAAATTGTGTTAAGTAAATTAAAAATAAACTTCTGTCTTCAACAAGTATATTGAAATATTGTGTTTAATGTTCACTGGTGAAAATGACGTGTAAACTTCTACCGATGTAGTTTTAGTTTGCTACTACAAAAACTATAATATTTATAATATATTTTCGTCTTGATATAAGATTAAAATATTTTATCGTGCGCTTTTTCTTTTTTGATTTTAATATCACATGGGTTTATATTATTACTGATTGAGTAAATGAACCTACGCAAAACGAATAAGATATTGGACAATAATAGGTGTATTACTTACTAGAAACCCACCGAATTATATTCATTTATTGATAGTTTATGCTAATTATCTTTACGTGACTAGATTTTTAAATTTAAAATTAGATTCACTCTATTGAATTCTATTGTTTTAATACATTTTTATCGAGTTAATCATCATAACTAAATAAATTAGTTTAGAAAGTAGAAACAAAATACGCAATCTACTAATACGATTATTCTGTTTATTTATTGAAATTTTAACACGAGAAACTGAAACTAAAACTGAACTTGACCGGATACTATAGTTAGTGCATTTTAATGTGTTTATTCGACTTTGTTTTAAATTTTAATGCAGTTTGGACTTGAATAACGTTTTGCTCAATATTTTTTCAAGATTTATGTTATAATATTCAAAATAACTTACATAAGTTTTTAAATATTTTAAAACCTGTAATAACAACAAAGTGTTCATTTAAGTGTTTAAAATTTAAGACCCTGACACTGAGGTAAAATATAAAACTTGTATAAATAGTTTGAAATGAAAAATATTGACATATTATCCATGAATACGCTTTTGTGGAAATATATTCAATAATTAAAGCAAGTTATTGCATATTCAATAAGGCACTTTAATAAGTCCGAGTAATTTATCAAATGCTTTCGAAATGTAAAAAAAAAATATAATAACATGGCTTTTCAGATTCATTTTGAAATATATAGTGAGTTTACGGTCGATAAAGTTATACCAGTGATACAGGGTAGTAATAAAACGCCTTAATACACTCGGAAGGAAACACCCACTATGAGTATAATATATCACACTATATATCAAATAATATGTATATTGTGTATGATATTATAGTAGTTAACAATGAGGTTATTATTCTTAGCTTCTTTGTGTATTTTAGAAGAACGTTGGGTTTAATTTTTAACCATGTCTATTGTGGTCTACTCACTATATTACAATATGTTCATGGTTATGGACATTGGAATATTTAATAAATATTAATATTATATAGATATTTGACCCAATACCTGGATGGGGTTGGCAAGTGGAGTGAGTGGGGAGCTAAAGTGGCTAAACCCTCTGGTATTAATATTGTAGTAATTAGTTCAATTTTGGCTTCTATTGGTATGGTATAGATTTCTAGGTGAATTCGTTACACTTCTCAGACGCTAAAGTTATATGATAACATTTGCTAAGGGTACGTTACCACTGAGCTATTTAAGGAGTTTTCGTCTGAGAACTCAACCCGAAAGTTTGGCTATTTCGCTCGGCAGTAATTGAATAA